CCAGCCCTCCTATTGAAAGTAATTAGAAGAGTTAGACCAAAAGTTAACTAATTGAAAGCCCTGAAAGCTACCAAGGCAGTAAAGAATTGCAAAATCAAGATCTCACAGAAGAGGAAGATCAGTTAAACAAGCACAATCATTTGGGATAATTTCCCCCCTTCAGGGATCCTCTAATTTATAATGCAGATAGAAACTGAGAATTTCAGTAAAGCTTTTAATAGAGCCTATGATAAAAGGTTGAGAGAGCACACCAAAGATAAGGACTCAGGTAAATTCCCTGGACTTTTGGTTGGGGATTCTGAAAAGATAGACCTTTTATCAGTAACAGTGACCTGGAAATAAACCACCCTCCACAAAGACTGAAGTCCATTTTCAAATAATCTCTCCCCCAGTTTGATTCATTAATCTTCATTAAGTAGTTGCCAGTGCTGTTGCTAGATGTTTGCAAAATAAATGTAAGTCTCTGGAAGAAGATAATGTTGTCCAGAGGCTTAAATTACCCTGTGTATTTTCATACACAGTGGTCAGAATTCAGTAAAAGAAAAAAAAAAAAAGGCATTGACTCATAGAAAATCTTTATAATACATTTGTTCTGGATACCAAGTCTTTATAAGTGCTTTTACATATTATCATTTATGTGGTTACAAATGTCTTTCCCAAGTTTGTGACTTTTTTCTTTTAAATGGTATTTTTATATTGAATACTGTAGGGTAAGGTAAAAAGTATCAGGCTTTTCTGCCCTCCTGCCATTAGGATCGAGGACAGAACCCTGTGGTCCTGAATGCATGCTGATGGTGGGCACCTGGAATAGGGTCTGGGCATATGTAGATGGGATTCACCTGGGCCTAAGACTGGACTTTTAAGGGCAGCGTCGTGGGGACACCAGCAGAAGCAGAGCAGAAGCAGAGAAGCAGAAGCCCAGAGAAGCAGAAAGAATAGTAGAGCAGAGAGAACACGAGAAAACGCCAGAGAGCCCAGATAGAGTGAAGACTTGCTGGGGGCTGGGAGGCCTGCCAGCCTCCCTGCCCCCAACACCCCTGCCTGCTGTGTACCCAGTAAAATCCCAATAAGAGCCTGCAAAAGCCACCGAGGGCTCTAGGACTTCTCCAGTCTGCTCGGGTCATAGAGATCCTGCCCTGTGGCCATTCCTGCCCTTACAAATACAAATTCTTAACTTCAGTATAAATTAAAATACCAGTCTTTTCCTTTATGGTTATTGATTTTTGTCTCTTGTTTAAGAAATCCTTTGCTAATATGAAATCGTAAAGATATTCTCCTATACTCTATTTATTATAGTACCACTGTTTTTGCATTTTGTAATTAAATCTTCAGCCTACCCAGAATTAATTTTAGGGAAGGACGGGAATAGTCATTTTGTTTGCCATTTGGCTTACTATTTCTCTCTAGTTTCCTCTCCCTAATTTGCTTGCTCTGCAGTAGACTTTCTATGAAAGAATTTGAATAGAGAATATATTTTAGGGGCGAAACTAAATTCCTCATTGTTTTCACAACATATCTACAAATTTTTCTTTATACTGTGCTATTTGTTTACATTTAGTTTCTCATTTATAAATGCTTCTCATTCAATAGGGGAAGGACAGTTTCTTTGAAGAATTATTCTGCACAAATCCATATGAAAAATAGCAAAGTCCAACCTCACGCCGTATGCAAAATTTAATTCAAAGTGGATCAAAGACCTGAATGAAGGTCTTTGACCTAAACCCATAAAGCTCTTAAGAAAAAAAGGGGTAAATTTTCATGACTCCCTATCTGATAATCTGAGCTTTGACACCGATAGTATAAACAACAAAAGAAAAAAAAATAGGTAAATTGTGTTTCATCAGCGTTAAAAGCTTTAGTACATCAAGGAATGTTCTCAAGAAAGTGAAAAGATAGCCTACAGAATAAGAAAATGTTTGTAAATCATGTATCTGATAAGAGTCTGGCAGAATATATAAAGAACTTATATAACGCAACAAAAAAAAGTGAATTTAAAAATGAGTAGAATATATGAATATACATTTCTCCAAAGGAGATATGCAAACGGTTAGCAAACACATGAAAAGATATTCAATTTAATTGGTCATTAAGGAAATGTAAGTCGAAACTGCAGATTGGCTGTGGTTAAAAAAAAAAAGGTAGAAGATAAGTTTGGGAAAGAATGTGGAGACGTATGAACCCTTGTTCACTGCTACTGAGAATGTCAAATGATGAAACTCTTTTGAAAAGACAAGTATACAATTACCATATGACCCAGTGCAGGGTAAGTAAAGTATTAGGCTTTTCTGCCCTCCCATCATTAGGAATGATGATGGAACCCTGTGGTCCTGAATGCATGACTAATGGCGGGCACCTGGAGTAGGGTGTCAGCATATGTAAATGGGATTCACCTGGGCTAAAACTGGGCTTACAAGGGCAGCGGGGATGCCAGAAGACCAGAACCAGAAGAAGAAGAGAGAGAGTGGAACAGCAGAACAAGAGAGCGAAAGAGAACTACCAGAAGAGAGCAGAGAAGCAGAGGCCACGAGAGAACGCCAGAGAGCCCAGAGAGAATGCCCCTGCCTGCCGTGTACCTGGTAAAATCCCAATAAAACCCTGCAAAAGCCACCGCCGATGGCTCCAGGACTCCTTTCCTTACCCCATCTGCTTGAATCGTAGAGATCCTGCTCTGGCCCTTCCTGCCACTACACCCAGCAATTCCACCCATAAGTATATACCCCCAAAATTTGAAAAATAGATTTGCAAACAAATACTTGTACACGCATGTTCATAGCAGCACTATTGACAGTAATCAAAAGATGGAAAATATCTATGTCCTTCAGTGGGTGAATGGATGAACAAATAGTGGTACATAAATGCACAGATCTGCCATAAAAAGGACTGAAGTACTGATACATGTTATTATAACCTGGAACTCAAAACATTATGCTAAATGAAAGAAGCCAAACACAAAAGGCCACATAATGTATGAATCATTTTATATGAAATATCCAAAATAAGCAGATTTCCCCAGGGAACAGGTGAAAAGAGGGTAATAGGGTGAGATTATTTAAAGTGTATGTAATGTGTTCTGACATGTTGAAAACTTTTGAAACTAGAGATAGTGATTGCATAACACTGTGAAGGCACTAAATGCCACTGAATGTATACTTTAAAATGGTTGATAGTATGAATTTCGCTGTTAAAAATTCACTAACATTAAAATTTTGTCTAGTATAATCGTGCAGCTTTAAGTGCTTGGGTATTTCTTCTGGGTGGAGTTAAATTACAATTGTATAGTAAATGTTTTACAGATTTTATTAAATAATGCTTTTGGGGGCCTCCCCTGGTGGTGCAGCAGTTGAGCACTGGGCTGCGAAGCTGCCCGCAGCCTCTGCAGTGCCGGTTCGATCCCTGGCCACTGGTGAGGGTCCCACATGGTACAACAGACCTCTCCTCCCGCGCCTGCTGCTCCCCTCAGCAGTGTATTTCATCACTCTGCCTGTTCTGTTCCCCTCTCTGGCTCTGGTGAATTCTCTCACCCTCCCGCGCTTCTGACTGTACCCAGTGCTTGTATAAATAAATAAATCTTTAAAAAATAAAATAATGCTTTTTGTTAACTTTGTAAAAGTGAAATTTATTGGAAATACATCTTGTCAGTATGGATTTTTTTTATGCCATTCAGTTCATCTGTCCATGGGTGAATACTAAAGGGTTCACCATCAGTTCTATTCCCATCTTATTTTTTTTAACCTTCAATCCCACAACCATTTTTTATTATAGAGATAAATCCTGATCCTTACGATGGTCTTTAGGTAGGATTGGTGGTATCAAGTGCAGGCACCAAGATCTCCAAACTTAACAGATTTGCAAAAGCTGGCAACAGCTATCAGGTTTAGCACATACCGAGGATGTCTTTGAGCAGTCCTTGGAAGCTTGATCCACATATTTCTGCTAATGGGCCGCCAATACTTTAAAAGGAGAGCAGATTATGTAAGTGTGGAACTCTTGAACACCACCCTTCACATGGACATGGAGTTCCATGCTAGCCAATTGCTCTGTGCCCAGAAGCAGGACAGGTTCCAATAGTTTCTGTTGTAATCTGCGTAGCTGGATCATCTCCAGGAATTGCTTGTTCACATGAGGTTATCACCCCTTGTATCGTGAGCCAAGGTTGTGGCCATCTTCTTGCATCCAGAGACTTGCACTGACTGCAAAGGGCCCTTGGACATCACTGTGTGTGTAGACAACAGTTCCTCACCATGAGGTGCCACAATCAGGGAAAAAAACCCTATTTTATGTTTTATTAGACTCAAGTATTAAACATTTTTAATGTAAACGAAATTTTTTTTATGTCAATGTTGCTCTGTTCTCTGACCTTCTGTGGCTTATGCCAAAAAGCACATAGTGATTTAATGTAAAATTTAGTTTTAACAATTTATCAGCTGATAACTCAGATTACCTTTCAGTTTTTATGATACTAAGGCATTGGAAGATGATTGCATAAGAATTTGATAGAGATCACTTAATACCTATAGCAGTATGTCCAGTTAGCTCTGTTTAGTGCTTCACAGATTTTTGGCTCTCATGGTAAAGAGGAGTGTTTTTCTTTTGAAAAATGAGAAAGCATTATTGTTGAAAAGGACAAGGAAATGGCAAATTTTTATGAGACAGGCAAAACTGTTTTTGAATAATGATGTGTGAAAGTTGAAAATCTGATGCTCTTAAAAGCTTTGCCCATGTAACCTCTTGGAAAATCTTTGTGTATCTGCAGGATTATAGAACTCTCTCTGAGGTCTTGTATAAAGTGTTTTTTAGTATCACTTCAGATAACAATCTTTGAATAGTTTGGACCTATATGTACTGTGAATAAAAAGATGAACAATAAAAATAGCTTTTTTCTTTGAAAGTGGCCTAATTGTGTGTTTGAACTGGATGGATTAAATGTAGAATTAACATAAAATTCTGTAATACAGAAGTGTTAGCTTCTCTTCTAATTCCTTTTCTAAATTTTTCCCCAGGTCAATGAATGGTCATTGAAGATAAGAAAGGAAATGAGAGTTGTCGACAAGCAAATAAGAGGTAAATTATCACTTTACATCTTCTGTCCCTCACCCTCTAGCTGCATTTGGTATTCATAAAAATAAACAACTACATATTGTAAGACATAATTTATTATAAAATTATCATTGCTTTAATTATTTTGCCACCTAATCACTGTAAAGAAAAACAAGACACAATGAACTCATTGTATAAGTGCTAAAGAGTATTTTAGGGAATTCAAATTAAATTGTGTGTAAGAAATGCAATTAGATTTTAACTTACTCTAGTTGTTTATCTTAACATGGCTGTAAATTGAGGAAAATATATTTCTAAGTAAAGTTGATTGTTGAATACCACTTAAAATTCAGGTGTCTTGCAGAGATGGTAACGTTAAAAAGCTTATGATTTTTAACACTTTTATGACTGGAGAAAAATTAACATTATAAAGATATCCAAATATTACTCCCTTTAAAAAAGGAATTAGAGGGGAAATTCCATACCCAACCATGGTAGAGTATTTATTAGACTCAAGTGTTTTATTAGACTCAAGTGTTAAGAAACATTTTTAATGTAAACAAAGTTTTTTTCTGTCAGTGCTGCTCTTTTCTCTGACCTTCTGTAGCATATGCTAAAAGCACATAGTGATTTAACGTAAAATTTAGTTTTAATAATTTATTTAGTTTTAATTAAAAGCACAGACTTGCACTTGTGCTTTTATCTCAAAATAAATAAATAAACACTGGAGAAAATTTATGAAACATCTGTTTTCAAACATTGGACAATAGGCAGTGTAGGACATTTATCACTGAGATAAGGTGGAAAAAGGGAGAGCACCTTAGTATGGCCCAGATTTTTTTCCTAGAGATACTTTGTGGATCATAGTACATAGAAGGGGATTCCAAGCAGAGCCTGCTGGTCTCATTGAGTGGAAGAGACAGATCAGGGTTCAGGTATGCTGAGTGATTGGAATAAGATATATAAAGGAAAACATGAACATAATGAAAGAAATAGAAGGTTTAGAAAAGAACAAAATGGATGTCCTGGAGATGAAAGATCTGAAATGAAATGAAAACTTCACTTAATAGACTTAAGTGAAGCCCAGATTAGGCATTATAGAAAACAAGATCAGTGAAATTAAAAATAATGATAATAATACAGACTATACAAACTGTAGTATGTAGAGAAAAATACAATATAATGTAATATGTATAATTTTAATGACTGGTGGAACAATATCAAATGGTATAAAGTGTGATTTGAGTCGCAGTTGGAAAGGAATCAGAAAAGGATAAGATGAAATAATAGCTTAAAGATCTCCAAATCAGATGAAAACTAAACTCACAGGTCCAATGAACTCAATGGATTTCAAACAGGATCAGCACAGAGAACACCATACCAAGATACATCATAAATTTCTGTAAGTTAAAAAAAGAACAGTCTGAGAAAAAGACATTAAATGTAGAAAGCAGTAAGAATAACTAAAACCTTATCAGAAACAATGCAAACCAAATCATCTTTAATATGATGAAAGAAAAATCATGTTCTGTCTGTAGCCAATGTAAATAGCATTAAAAGCCAAAGTAAAGATACTCTTCCACAAAATACAAGAGAATTTGTTGCCAGTTGATCTATATTATAAAATATCCAAGATATGGGCCTCTCTGGTGGCGCAAGGGGTTAAGCACCGCACTATGAAGCAATCCGTAGCCTCTGCAGCATGAGTTCCATCCCTGGCCGGCCAGGGAGCAACCCACATGGCGCAGCAGACCTCTCCTGACTCACCCACTGCTCCCCTTAGCAGTGTATTTCAGTCAATCTGCCTGTTCTGTTCCTCACTCTGTTTCTGGTGAATCCTCTCACCCCTGCATCTATGGCCTGTACCCCAGCTTTTGAATGCATAAATAAATCTTTAAAAAAATAATAAAATATCCAAGATATAAACTTGGATCTACCCAAAGAAATAAGTTAGAAATTGGAAATGATAATAATGTAAGTAAATATAATTTTTCTCGCTTTAAAAATGCCTTTAAGGAGCCTTCCTGGTGGCGCAAGGGTTGAGACACAACCTGTGGTGCTGTCCGCAACCTCTGAAGCACAAGTTTGATCCCGTACCAGGGAGCAACCCACATGGTGTAGCAGACCTCTCCTGGCTTGCCTGCTGCTCCCCTCAGCAGTGTACTTTGGTCAATCTGCCTGTTCTGTTCGCCACTCTGTCTCTGGTGAATCCTCTCACCCCCCCACATCTCTGTCCTGTACCCAGCTCTTGTATGCATAAATAAATAAATCTTTTTTTAAAAAATGCTTTTAAAAATTACTATTTAAAGTAAAATAGTGTATTATGGGACTTATGATATAGAAGTAAATTGTATTCTAATAGCACAATTGATTAATGGCATCTTATTTTGGAGGGGTTGTGAGAACTAAATGAGTTTAGTAATATAAAGTTGTTTTTTTTTTAAGATTTATTTATTTATACAAGCACTGGGTACAGTCAGAAGCGCGGGAGGGTGAGAGAATTCACCAGAGCCAGAGCGGGGAACAGAACAGGCAGACTGACGAAATACACTGCTGAGGGGAGCAGTGGGCCTGGCAGGAGAGGTCTGCGCGCCATGTGGGACCCTTGCTGGCATCTGGGTAAGGAACTGGTGCTGCAGAGGCTGCGGCCAGCTTCGCAGCCCAGCGCCCAACCGCTGCGCCACGAGGGGAGGCCCTAATATAAAGTTCTTAAGAAAGTCCCTAAGGGCCTCCCCTGGTGGCGCAGCGGTTGAGCGCTGGGCTGCGAAGCTGCCCACAGCCTCTACAGTGCTGGTTCGATCCCCGGCTGCTGACGAGGGTCCCAATTGCGTAGACCTCTCCTGCTGGGCCCACTGCTCCCCTCAGCAGTGTATTTCGTCAGTCTGCCTGTTCTGTTCCCCACTCTGGCTCTGGTGAATTCTCTCACCCTCCCACGCTTCTGACTGTACCCAGTGCTTGTATAAACAAATAAATCTTTTTAAAAAGAAAAGAAAAGAAAGTCCCTGAGACACAAACACGGTTGTTAGTATCCAGTCCACACAATCTATGAAACATAATTATCCAGTAAGAACATGGTGATACAAACAGAGCAGATGAGGAAACCTAAAGTCTCTGAAGCTCCCCAGCTCATTTATAACCACATAGTGTTCTGTGTGACCATACTGCACATGTTTGGCCTGAGGGAGAATAGTAGTCATGAGGAATTCTGGTACAGTTCATGCACATCTTCCCATTCACTAAAACAGTAATTTCAAAAATAAGTTCATCTTTTCTAATTACTAGTCTTTATTTTTTTCTGTTCAAAAAAAATATGTTCTGTGCATTAAACCCTTTGTTGAGGAATGAATCATCTATGTGGTGAATGCTTAGAATTACTAGAGGACCCCTTTACTAAGGGTGAAGAGCCAAATGCTCCTATGGAAACCCCTTCATGGAACAAGCCTGGAGTGGCTTGAGTTGGCAAGCATGGGAAGCAAAACTGCAGGCCAAGGCAATTGTGATGATGACCAGGGCTGGGCAAGAATCACAACAGGAGGAACAAGTAGACAAACCCTTGGTGAGGGCTGTATATCACAGTTGTAGACAAACTGAGTTGTTTATGTAAAGCATAGTCAAACCAGTCTGTCTTGGTCTGTTCAGGCTAGACCGTTTTGAGAACATTATCTCTACCAAAGCCAGGTGGTATGGCCAGGACAGGCAGTTGGCGTAACTACTTTTCCACATCATGACTGGCACTGGGGCTGTCATTTTGGCAGCCCCCACCTATGCCTAGTCTTTCATCTTGGTCTTTGTGTTTCTTGGTAGTAAGAGGAGACCTAATCATTCTCACCAAATGAAAAATATTTTCCATATTCTTTATCAAATGTGCTCTTTCTCAAATTTATTGGCAGGTCTGGCTGCCACCCAGCTGGAATTCACAGCCATTCAATTGGTGTCATCTTTAAAAAGTTTCATAAGTTCAGTTAGAGTCTCACAATCCTTGTTTATTTCTATTTTGTGCTTTGATCATTATAGTTATTCTCATGTTCACAGCTCATTTATCCTGTTAAATGCTCTTTAAGCTCTCTTTTACTACTGCTATGTATTTGTAGATGACCTGATTCTACGTATAGAAAATCCCAAAGAATCCTCATATATAAGGAAAAAGAAAACAGCTGTAAGCAAATTCAGCAGAGCTCAGGATAAGCATAAAATTATTAGGCTATATATTGAATATATAATACATAATCATGTACTTTTGTGACATCATTAGGGAACACTGGCAAACCTGTATGGAACTGAAATATTTGTATGTTATTAAAGTTAAGCTCATATAAATTCCAATTAATATTATAACTTTAGAATGTTAAGTGTAATCCCTATGGTAACCACAAAGAAAATAGCTTTAGATTATATAAAAAATAAATGAGAAGGAAATTGAAATGTTTTATGACAAAAATGTCAAACACAAAAGACAATGTAGAAAATGAAAGGCAAAAAAAATGTATAAGATCTATAGAATATAAGGACAGAAATAAGCTCCTCTTTATCAGTAATTACTTTAAGTGTATTAAAGTCTCCAATTAAGAGTTTGGCTCAAGGTTTTAGAAACAAAAAATGTCCCTGTTTTTTGTCTACAAGAGATTCACTTTAGATCCAAAGACACAACTAGTAAAATGACAGTAAAAGATATTCTGTGGAAATAGTAAGAAAGTAGAATTTGTTATGCAACTATAAGGCAAAATAAAATTTAACTAAAAAAATAAGAGACAAAGGACATTAATAAAAGTTTCAGTGTAGCAAGAAAACATCATAATTAGACAGATACACATGCACTTGCACTTGAACCTTAATAACAGGAGCAAGCACCCAGGATTAATTTCTTACTCAAAAAGCAAAGAGAAATTTCTAGCTTGTGGCCCTATTTCAACTATAATCCTCACCCAGGGCTACATCCATTACTCAGCACAGCCTAGAGCATGAGGCCACTATGAGACATTTTAGCCAAGAAGTTTGCCTCATGGAGGATCCCCACCACACAATCTGGGAAACTGAGGCACTATAGTTGGTGAACCATTAGTGCTTCCTGGAGGTGACCTTTCAATGCTCTACTGCTCTGGTTCCTTCCTACCTCTTACCCCTTGCCGGCACCAGTGTCTGTCATTCTAAACAGGTACAAAGGTGTCAGTCTGTGAAATAATAGACTTAAAGATCCTGGGTAAAAAACAACCTAGGATTATACCCAACTTTTTTTTTTTTAAAGATTTATTTTATTTATACAAGAGCTGGGATACAGGCTAGATGCATGGGAGGGTGAGAGGATTCACCAGAGATAGAGTGGGGAACAGAACAGGCAGACTGACGAAATACACTGCTGAGGGGAGCAGTGGACGAGACAGGAGAGGTCTGCTTGCCATGTGGGTTGCTCCGAGGCTGGCGGGGATCAAATCGGCACTGCAGAAGCTGCGGACAGCTTCACAGCGCTGTGCTCAACCACCTGCGCCACCAGGGAGGCCCTATACCCAACTTCTTATAGAAGGAGTATAAAGCTAATTTATTAAGATAAGAAAAGGTAACTCCCTATTACAACTCATAAAATTGAAAATGAAGAGAAAGAAAAACATATCACAAATACTGGAGCAAAAAACCCCAAGAAAGTCTCAATCAAGCAGAACTACAGAAAATGTTTTATTGGGAGTTTACACTAACAGTTATAGCCATGCTTGCCAAATTAAGACAAAAAAATTGATAATATAAAATAAAAAGATGAAGAAAATATGAGACTGTTAAAACTAGAACTAATGGATCTAAAAAATATAACTTAATTTTAAAAACACAATAGAAGGCATCAACAAAGGATAAACACAAGTAATGGAGAAAATTAGTAAGCTTGTAAGCATGATAGCAGAGAACAAACCCATAGAACCACAAAGAGAAAAAAGAAAAAGAAGAAAGACGGCGTAAGAATTGTTTGGGATAATGTAAAGAAAAATAACATCCATATCATGGGGATTCCAGAAGAGAAAGAGAAAGACATGGAAAATTTAAAGTAATTCCTGAGAACCCTCTCATTCAACCCTTTCAAGTAAACTAGACATCCTGATCCAAGAGGTCCAAAGAGTTCCAAGCAATAATACCAGACTGACACACTCTAAGGCATTATAATCAAGCTGTTAAAAATGAATGACAAGGACAGAATATTAAAAACATTGAGAGAAAGAAAATAACCAATATGGAAACACTTATTAACTGACTGCAAACTTAAGTGGAAACCTTACAGACAGGAGGGAGATATTTAGAAGGCATTTAAAGTACTCAGCAAACTTCCAGCCTAGAATATTTTATCCTGCAAGATTATCTAGAAAACTTAAATAAGGGACCAGGAAAAAGAATAACTATAAGAAAGAAAATATCAAAATCAACAAACAACTATGAACCAGAGACACTCTATGGGGGGGAGGGAGGTGGGGAAAGGAGGGATTGGGTCAAAATAAGGGGGTTGTAATTGTATGGGGAATATAAAAATAAAATTTAAATTAAAAAAAATAAAAAAAGAAACTTCACTGAAAAGCAAAAATTAAAAGAATTTATCAACACCAACCCACGTATGAAAGAAGTACTTACTAAAGGGAGCTATTGTTAAAGCAACAAGAAAGAAGAGACTTCCCTCAACAAAAAACCAGACTCCCAGATTATACAACTTGGAGGAGGAGGGCCCATCAAGCAAATTTGAGACCAGTTCATGCAACGGACCACAAAAATAGTTCATATACCAGCCTCGGTAGAATCTTCAAACAGAAATCCACAGAAGGAACACATGAGGCAGTGGACATAATCCCTGACTAAAACATAAGAATGTCATACCTTACACCAGTGAGAATGGCACATATCAAAAAAACAAGCAACAGCAAATGTTGGCGAGGATGTGGTGAAAAAGGAACTCTCCTACATTGCTGGTGGGAGTGCAAAGTGGTCCAACCTCTATGGAAAGCTGTCTGGAGGTTCCTCAGTCTACTAGAAATGGAGCTACCATATGACCCGGCAATTACACTCCTAGGGATCTACCCAAAGGACACAAAAACATTTATTCAAAAGAACACCTATACACCTATGTTTATTGCAGCACTATTTACAATAGGTAAAACCTGGAAACAACCCAAATGCCCAAAAATAGATGACTGGATGGAGCTAGAAGGAATTATAAAATATTATAAAATATCGGATGGTTTCACTTAAGCAGGAATATAGGGGAACCAAATAAGACATCAGTGTAAAAAAAAATAACAGTACAAAACACAAAAAAGCAAAAACGGACAATTAGAAATCAGGGACATACTGTAGGGGAGGAGGAGAAAGAAGGATCAGAGGGAGGGAGGTGCATAGGGGGCTGTGGTGATGGTGCACGGGTGCATTGGTGAAGGAAACTCTATGGGGGCTACACCTGAGGGGGTGGGGGAAAGCAAATATTGTTTAAAAAGAAACAATGATGTAAAAAAAAGAAAAAGAAAAAGATGTCAAAATAAAAAAGGCAAATTAAAAAATGAGGAACAAGATGGCAATAAGCACCTATGTCTCAATAATTACCTTACATGTAATGATGTGAATTCACCAATTAAAAGATGTTTACAGGGCCTCCCCGGTGGCGCAGTGGTTGAGCGCTGGGTTGTGAAGCTGCCCGCGGCCTCTGCGGCGCCGGTTTGATCCCCGGCTGCTTCCCGGCCACCGGAGGAGGGTCCCACATGGCGCGCAGACCTCTCCTGCCGCCCGCTGCTCCCCTCAGCAGTGTACTTCGGTCCTTCTGCCTGCTCTGCTCCCCGCTCTGGCTCTGGTGAATCCTCTCACCCTCCCGCGCTTCTGACTGTACCCAGTGCATGTATAAACACAACAAAGAAAGAAAGAAAGAAAACATGCCTCTATAAAAAAAATAAAATAAAAAAATAAAAGATGTTTACAAATCAGATAATTCAACAAAGCAAAGTATTTATAAAAACTAGTAGACAAAATGAAGTGAGGCTTCTGAGGTCAAGAAGGCAGTGGGAGAAAGAAACAGTCAAAAGAGTAGAAGGGATGGTAGTGGGCAAACAAAAATGTGGCCACTTATAAGTCTGTAGAGAATAATTCAATGCCTTGGTTAGTCCTGCATATTTCATAAAGAAGCACTGTCTTGTATAAAGTAAATAAATGAAAAAGGTTAAGATGGTAATTTTTATTTTTTTACCATTTTTTTTTTAACCACAGTAACTAACTACTGCTCATAAAAGTATAGCTTATTTCTTGTTGATACTGTTTGATATTTTTATTTTTAAGGGGTTCCTTAAGTTGGCAGATTTTTATAAATCATTGATGATCATAGAACCACTACTTCTTTTTTTTAAGATTTATTTATTTATTTATACAAACACTGGGTAGAGTTAGAAGCATGGGAGGGTGAGAGAATTCACCAGAGCCAGAGCAGGGAGCAGAACAGGCAGACAGACGTAGTACACTGCTGAGGAGAGCAGTGGGCGTGGCAGGAGAGGTCTGCGCACCATGTGGGACCCTCACCCGGTGGCTGGGGATTGAACCGGCGGCGCTGCAGAGGCTGCGGGCAGCTTCACAACCCAGCACTTAATCGCTGCGCCACCAGGGAGGCCCACCACTACTTCTTGTTAGACCAAGCTCTGGAATGTATTTACAGACTTTTTAAAGTTTCTTAGCATCAGTAACAACAAATGTTAGAGTGGGCTCACAAGAGCAGTTTTAGAAAAAAGGATTTACTTTTTTTACTCTTAAATTACTCTAATGTTGTCTTTTCAAGAAATAGTGAATACTCACCACACTTTATTTCGTTCTGTGTTCTCCTATTTAATAGGCACATCTAGATCACAGTAAGAACAGTAAGCTATGAATGCCAGTAAACCTCCTGTTTATCCTTAATTTTTGTGTTTTCTGAATTTAGATATCCAAAGAGAAGAAGAAAAAGTGAAACGATCTGTGAAAGATGCTGCAAAGAAAGGTCAGAAGGATGTCTGTGTGGTTCTGGCCAAAGAGATGATCAGGTCGAGGAAGGCAGTGAGCAAGCTGTATGCATCCAAAGCGCACATGAACTCGGTGCTCATGGGGATGAAGAACCAGCTGGGTAAGTGGCAGTCACCTTATGGCCACTTCACAGATGCTGATGTTCTTGCTATTAACAACACTAGTTTCCTTGAATAGGAAGAATAATAATCGGCTTTGATTTTTATTCTTTATAGTCTTAGTTATACAAATACAAAAAATTATTCTCACTATTATTCTATCACTACTCATTTTCTTTTGTCATTGTTTTTGTTTTTTTGTGGGTTTTTTTTTTTTTTTTTTTGTGGGACCCTTGCTGGTGGCCGGGGAACGAACCGGCGCTGCAGAGGCTGCGGGCAGCCTCGCAGCCCAGCGCTCAACCGCTGCGCCACCAGGGGAGGCCCTGTCATTGTTTTTGAACTAATGACAGAATTTATATATAAATCTTTATTTAGAATTTAGAATAGAATACCTCTATTACAAAGTGATGTGAGAGTTTGAGTCATAGGATTAAGAAGTGGGCCTATGTGTGCCCTAGGCAAAATTTTTAGAGAGACTAAATTTGTCAGTGGCTTTCACTCATCTTTTCAGCCTCACCCACTCACTGCTTCTCTACCTAATGATTCTTCACATTTTAGGAATATGTAGACTACATAAGGTGTATTAGCATGCATGTAAACTATCAGTTTGACAAAAAAATCATTAAAATGTTTTAAATAAAAATAAACAGTATCAGCATCCAATATACCATTTGTGGTCTTTGACAAGCTTCTGTCTCCAAGGTGGTGACAGCTTGAGTAATAGGTTAAATTTTATCTCCAAATGGATTTTCTTCTTACTTAATTTCTGTAAAATGAAGACATCCTAGCTCAGAATTATTATACTTTGAGAATGGCAACAAATGATTGTTGAATATTTAGACTGAGTGAGGACTCAAAAATATGGAGAAATTTTTCACTAAAGAATATTTTAAATCCGCTGTCAGACACTAGATTCATTACGTATATCACACTCAAAAGTTAGAAGACTTTTCCGTTTTGGGGATGGTGTCAAATGAGTACATAATCCATCATTTGGTTGTATTTACCTCTGAAATTATTTTTGTTAAATTTTAACATTTGAATATGGTTTTTAATATGCCTGATAATGAGTATATCATCAGTTTCTTTCTCTAGACACTGAAGAAAATAATCATGAACTGGGAAAAAGTGAAAAATAAGATAAACTGTGCCACATGTTCTGAGCTTTTAAGAACTGTTATTTCAGCCCTAGCGTAAAGTATTCAGGCTCTTTAAATACTGGAAACATCACCAGGATAGGTACCTTTTGAACAAGCCAAAAGTTCATTGCCATAAAGAAATAATTTTATCTGTCATTTTGAAAGCTCAAGTAAATACTTTTGCCTGTACACAGCCAGTATTGGAAAATTTTGTATTTATTCCCTATTTTTTCTGCAGCATGCTGAAAAGATATATGTTCAGTTGGTCATGATAAGCTTATTTTAAATTTTTTCAGTATATCTTTTATTGAGTAAACATCAGAAAATTTATTGCTCATTCTGCCCTTTTTCCCTATGAGTAAAGCACTCCATGCACAGTCTCTTTCTCTCCCCAGTTGCAGAGATAAAGGACACAGGATAATATAGCTGATACTTATATATTTGTCACCTCGAACTAATAAGATCAGATATTTTGTTATATTTGCTTCAGTTTTATATAAGAAATAAAACAATATTACTAAAGTTGGATTTCCTTTAATATGTAGTCTCAATTCCATTCCCCTTCAGCCTCCCTAGAGATAACCATTATCAGGAATGTTAACATTTGTATAAATGGTAGTATACTACACAGAGTATTCTGCACCTTTTTTCCAAATTAACATTGTATTTTTGAAATAATGATTGCTATTCCTACAGTAAATATTCCATCATAGGAATATCACATTTATTTTTCTTCCCTATTGATGGACATTTAGGCTATAAATTTTTACTAACAATGATGCTGTGAGTGTCATCACTTTTGCACTTGAATAAGGTTTTTTAGAATAGTTATACACTCAAAAATGGAATTGCTGGGTTAAAATAGTTTGGTTAAATTTTGTTAGAATTCCAAAATTGTTCTCAAAGAGGCTTTAGGAACTTTTATTCCTACCAGAACCGGGTGGGTTTTTTCTGTCTTTTTCACCAAGCCTATTAGCAGATTAACCATTAATCTAAAGTGAAAAAATAATCTCTTCTATAGCATGTACTTTCTTTAGTAAACATAACAAAAAGTTCCTTTATGTATTACACATAATCAGTTATCCTTTATTATTTAAAGGATCTTATCTTTTATGATGTTTTAAATACATGTCGGGACTTTATATAACAACTGAAAAGTAAACTCTCTGCTGTTTGATCTTTGTACTCTAAGACTTTGTTGTAGATTGTCAGCAGTTTTCCTCTTTCCTCAAGTTGATCTCATCCAACCATGTTACTTAAATGCCACTGATTTCCAATCTTTTATTTTCATCCCTGATTTTATCACTTAAATGTATGATTATTTTCTCAACTCATGTCTTAATGGGCCTATCAGAACTAATAGGCCCATACAAAAATTTTGGCTGCTCGTCTTTGTTTTTATCCCCACCTGCTCCCAATTCCCTCAGAATCTCAAGACATCATATAATTTTGTTTGTATTTCCATAAGATTTATAGCCCCTTGTCCTTCAGTTTTGGATGTGTCCTTGTGCTTATTTCCTTTCCAGTGTGTTTTCTGTTTCTTACCCAAAACAAAAGATTACAGTCAATTGTTGGATTTCTCAGGCTGGTGCTTTAATTTTCTTCTCTTTCTTATTTTCCATTTTGAAAATAATACCTTATCCAAAGGGTGATTGAGGATTAATTCAATGCCTGGAAATTGTAATTGCTATATATTTGGTTCCTAATATTAAGGTAATTATCATCATAAATTTGTCTTTGTTCTACTTTCTGAGAAATTTCCTCAACTTTATTTTCCATTTCTTCTGAGGAATTATTAATTTTAGCCATGCTAATTTCCAGGAAAAAGTTCTCTGATAGTTCCTTTAAAGAAATCTTAATTCATGAAATCAGTGTTTTTCCCTTGTTACTGACAACCATTTTGAAAGTTTCTGTGTTTCTTGCATTATTTCTCATTTTTTAAGGAGAGGGGACAGGAAAGGGGAGACCTGAGTAAGTGTAAGTTTCATGAGATCTTCCCCTGTCTTTTCAGGCAAATTTAATGAATACATTTCTTTCAGCCCCTAGTTATATTGCTGACTACTGTGGATAAAATAGTAAACATACAGGTACAATCATTGCCTATTAGATATAGGGTAGATATATTTAATAAAGTTAAATATATAATTTATATATACATTAAATATCTAATAAAATTAGAATATTTAATAAAATACCTAAAAATAAAAAATAGGTATTTGTAATTGCAAATTTTGATAGGTTCTTGCAAACTGTAAAGGTAAATACACTCAAGGATGGCTCCTTTAGCTACTAATGATATCTGAGGGAGGATGAGCAATTAAGTATGTGGTGGGGGGTGTAGGTGAGGGGATTCCAACATGGGTGAAATCCCTGTAGCTGGGAAAAAATGTGTATTCAAAACACTTAAGAAAAATCTGGGAGGTTGGGGCACCCCAAAAAAGTGGAAAGGATGGACAAGAAGATGAGTAAAGAGGTAAAGAAGATAGTTTTTACAGTCATTAGGAGAGCAAAGGTTCTTAAAGACAAATTGAGACATGCTATAGCAGTGGTGCAGATAAAGTGCAGTGGGAGTTCAAAGGAAAACTAATGGGTTGTTGGAAAAGTCATGATGAATTTAAAAATATGTCATGACTTTTCTGAAAACCCAATATTTGGGGGAGAATTGGGGCAGCATCTGAGTAGAGGGGTTAAGGTGCACAAAGGCATAGGTGAAATATTTTGGGCTGTTTAGAAAATAATGCTTGATTCAGTTTTTTAAGAATGTATTAATTGGGGCAGTAGGAGGTAAAGCTGCAAAGGTAATTTGGAGACAGAGTTTTGGGCATTAAGCTGAGGAATTTAATTTCATAGACAGTAAAAAGCCTTGGGGCACTGTAAGACCAAGGGCAGGTGCAGCAAGGAGGGGGAGGCAGTGGGACCTGAGAGGTAACTGGCAGGGTCTGGAGAAAGTAATCTAATGGGATGAAGTGGCAGGGAGGACACTGTCAGAAACTGTTTCTGATGCAGAGTAAATGTGTCCTGAGGAAGGTTTAGACAAATCTGAAATATTCCAAGTCCTTGAACCTGCAAAAACTTGCAGGGCCATTAAAACACACTGGATTCCCAGGATTAGATACAGGCATAAGAAAGGAGAGTTTATTCTGGTCAGTCCAGACAAGCTCCATGAGCATCATTCTGCTTCCCCAGTTTCCTAAGGCAGTATTTGGTGGGGGCGATGCCCCAGGCAGAATTGTTGACAGCATTTATAGTAGGATGTTGCTTGTGGCAAATTAAACACAACAAAAGTAACTGAAGAATCTCGAATGGGGCAGGAGGGAGGAATCTTTGTGAGAAGAGAAATAACTGGAAATAGTGTTACCAGAGTTCTTGAAAGGTCTTTGTCCCTCTCTCCCTTGGATGTTCCCTCATGTCACCCCCAACCTGTTGCATCTTTGAAAAGCCACCTTTTGATGAAATTATTCCTTTTCCTTAAGATTTTCCCCAATTAAAATGCACATGCCTCTGGGAGGGGTAATCTGTTAAGCCTTGTCAGCTATTAATACATTGTCATTTCCAAATGACAGCTTCCTGATAGCAGCTTCTTCTGGAATAAGACAGATGATGAGTATGTTTTGATTGGGGGAGAAAGTTAAGAGAAAGGTTCAAAGGTAGGACAGGAAGTAGAATTACTATATGGTCCAGCAATTCTACTTCTAGGTATATACACAAAGAATTGAAGCAAGGACTCAAAAAGATATTTGCATATTTGTGTTCACAGCAACATTACAATAGATAAAAGGTAACCCAGAAAGGACAACCCAAACATTCATTGTTGAAATGACCAGCTTTACCAAAGCAATATGAATTGAATACAGATTCAATAC